AGGACACGGCACCAAGAATGAGACTAAAATTTTCTATCGACTTACTTGGAACTTGTGGGTATTTGATTAGGGGTGGGCAAATTGACTTCTGACCTATTTGAAAGAAAGGGTTTCCCAATGACTACCACAATCATGTAGAAGAAACCTAGCCAAATCCACACACCTGCCTATCAGTGCCTCTAAAGATCCAATAAGTGTTGGAAGTTTTGTGATTCCTAGGACATGGTGCCAAGGACTGTGAGATTAGATACATGTATAGGCACACAATGTAAAAGGGAGTGAGGGAGGGAGAAAAGGAGGGGGAAAGGAGAAAGAAGGGAGGGGGAAGGGAGGAAGGAGAAAAGGAAGGGAAGGGATAGAAAAGACAAAATTAAAAAATAAATATATGAATATCATAGGAGGGCCAAAAGAGAATAACAGATAAAATGCATAGTGGAAAACTCTCACACCTAAATAAAACATTGGGACAAATTCCAAGAAGACTTCCTGGAAGTGGTGGCATCTGGGATAGGCTTTGAAGAAGAATTTGTATATGTGGAGATATAAGTGGGAAGAACTTTCTGGTAAAAGGTAACAGTAATAGTTTTATTAAAACAGCTCAAATTCACTCTTTCTCCTATTAATTATAAATTAATGGAATTATAAAACATACTTTAAATATACAAAGCAGATTTCAACTGCTGTATTTGGGCTATGCACTTATTAGCTCTTGTTTGGAAATAGTGGACTTTAACATTTCTTGTCCAAGTGGGATAAAAAATGTTCCAATTATTCAGTATATAATGCCTCAAAGTCTTCATAAAAAGAAAGCATTCCAAAGTAAATCCAGAATGTGCTTCCTGCTCTGCAGAAGGAATTGTCTGCTTCCTTCATGGACATCTCTGCATTTAATTCTATCATGAATATTATGAAAAGGAACCACTATGCAGATATGAAATAATATTTTTAAAGGATTTCTCTGACTGCGATATCTATTTTGGCTATAAAGCCTTCCCCAGGATCAGGCAGCGTATTTCTTTCTGGACAGATGAGAACGTTAGAGGATTTGAAAGCTACCCTGTACATGAATCTAGGCGGCAAGATCTTAGTTTTCTGAGCCGAAGGCTACACCTTAGAGATACCGAATAGGCATTTGAGTGATTGGGTTTAACGTCTTTTCAAGAAAACACTTTTAACCCAGTTTTCCTCTTGATTCTGAGAGGCCATAATAGTAAATCTTTTAGGAGGCAGCAGGGGAGAAAATGTTGTTCCTGTTGTTCTGACAGTAAGGAGCCAGATTTGCTCATTCAGCGAGGACCTTCCCCTGGGAGTGTCACACTGCTCACGGCAGCCTGCGCAAGAGTTCTGTTTGGCCTGCAGAGTATGATATTTTCTAGTTCAAACTTCATGCCTTTAAACAGGGTATGTACTCACCACTTCCTCTACATCTGGATTACATCTGGAGAGATTTACACAATTACTTCCCCCTTTGCTGTTTCAGTCTATGAGCTTTGCTTTATAGGTGGATTTCTCAACCTCATCGCTATTGATATTTCAGATGAGGTAATCGTTGTGTGGTTGTGTGGGGGAGATGGGGCTGTTTTAGAATGTTTAGTAGTGTCCCTGTGTTCTACCCAAAAGATACCAGTAACACACCTCCCATCCCCCAGTCAGGACAATCCAAAATGTTTCCCGGCATCGTAAATATCCTCGGGGGTGCAAAATTACCCTCCCATACCCTAGATTGAGAATCACCGCTTTATAGCAATATGGCCTCAGAGACCTAGGCTGTAATAATGGACACAATAATTGCACATTAGACAGCATAATGTGGGTAAATAACATTTTCATTAGAAGAAACGAGAACTAAGATCTGTGTGTAATTCTTTATACTTTAGTTTGCTCACCTCATTCTCCCACAAGTCTGGTATATAAATCAAAACAATATAGTATATGAAACAACACTTGTAAACGTGTTTTAAAAACTTAAGCATATAAACTTGTTGCCGTTTGGTTCTGTGTAGCTCTTTAGGCATCCACTGATACTGGCACATTGAAAAATGACAGCTCTATTCTATGACAAATTATTTAAACTCGAAGGCATTCCATAAACCAAGTACACTGACAAGGAGTTGAACTTAGCAGTAAGGAATGTCACTTCGGGCACTAGAATGAATTTTCTTGGAGTCTCCTGTCTTCTTGGTCTTTCTTGCTGATTGAAAAGTTAGTATCCTTTAGTTCAATATGTATTTGTTAAGCTTTAGTATATGCCAGGCAGGGTGCTGGGCACTAGGAATGCTTATACAACTTGTAGTTGTATATCAGCAAGTAGCTGTAGCAGACATGCTAGATATGACACTGTCTTTATGCAGAGTATGGTCTAGTAGAGGAAACATACAAGAAGCAAGAAAATTATAATGCATTTAGTAAGTGTATGATGGAGAACATTCAGGAGCTTCTACAAGGGCCACCAAACTCAGAGTTCAGGGTTAAGAAAGGTTTACTTGCGAAACTAAAACCAAAACTGAGATTTGAATGATGAATACGGGGTTACAAGAAAAAGAGAGGATGAAAGTATTTCTGACAAAGGAGACAGTATGTATGTAGTGCTGCAGGTGAGGGGATATGGCATTAGAAGACACATGGAGGAGAGAGTACATGAGGAGAATGGTGAGTGAGGCTGGGGGTATCCTAAGAGTAATGAAACCCAGTGAAGCCTTTGGGGAAGCAAGTGACATATGTACACACTGGAGATACTACTCTGGACACAGTAAGAAGAATAGATTGGAGGTAGTCGAGACAATAATGAGAGTGGGAGTAAGCCAAAGAAGCTGCCCTAATATCCAGAGAAGAGAAGATGATGTCCAAATGAAGATAGTGGCAATGAGGTTGGAATGAGGTCAAGGGATTGGAGGCATTGACCTATTTAGAGAAAAGAGGAAAAATGACATATGACTTATTGATAGAGTACATGAGTAGGGGGTGTATAAGGAAGTTAGAAGGCAGAGTCAAGCATGATTTTGGGGTGTTTGGGAGAGCTTTTGGAGGAAGCAACTGGAATTGACTATAGCTATTGTTACTATTGACAAAAATGAGTTTATGGGGTGCCTGCTGACTGCGGGTCCGTGAGCTAAATGTGAACAAGCATTATCTCTTTTAAATCTTGTAACATCCCTGTGAGATAGGATCTATTATTCTCAAGACCCCAAGGCTCAGCATAACCTGTTCAAGGATCCACATCTGGTAATAACAGGGCCCTGATTCGGGCTGGATTCAAACCTGACAGACTGACTCCAGAGTCAGGTGGTTAAGTCTGCTCTCTTAACTACCACAGAGAACCATTATTGATTCCCTTGAATGTTTACCTTCTAGGTTTAAATCACAGGTTTTCCAGAGACTAATTGGAATTTTGGCAGAAACATTCTATTTTTGAAGCTCTTCAAATCTCGATTTCCTCTGCCACAATCTAGGTATCAGAATATCTCCTTTACAGGGCCTATGGAGTGAGTAAGTCAGTGCTAACAAAAAAATGACAGAGCAAGCATTGACTGTATTCCATGCTGTGTTGTAAATACATGTATTAGCTAATTTAATCCTCACAGGGCCCTGGATGTGCCTTCAATTATTATTCCTATGTTACAGATGAAGAAGCTGAGGCACAGATTAAAATTAAATGCCATACTCATATAGCAGATTTGCTGGACTGCAAACCTGGGTGAGCTTTTCTGGAGTCTGTGCTCTTCATTGTGGTGTCATGCAATCTCTGCTAAGAAGTGAGGCCTTTGAAAGTGCTTGACAGGTCAAGAACCTAGCACCTGGAATGCTGGATGTGCTAAGTGCTGACCATAATTTTTCTTCAATGTTAAGTTTATTGAGCTTTCAGTAAGTGCCAGGCACTGTATTAGACAAATAAGATAGATATGGCTCCTATCTTAATGCCTTTCTTGAACTACTAGAAAGCCATTTCTAATTATGATTTTTTTTGTGTATTATCAAAATTCCCCTGCCCATGAGAAGTTGGGAAATGTCAGCAGTTTCTGAGGAAGACTTTAGAGAAGCCTAGGGGAGTCAGGCTTCATCAAGAGCCAAATACACGTATTGAACCCCTCTGCTAATGTGATCAGCCTGGGTGTTGACCAAAAGACAACACCAAGGCCCTTGGAGGGCTACTGTCTTTCCTCCTTTCATATCTGTCCATTTAATCACCATCTAGGTTAACAGCTGGCTGATACAATGGAGATAGAAAATGCTAACATCTCCTTGAGGGTCAGAAGGATTTTAATTTAATTTATTTTATTTTATTTATTTTTGAGGCGGTCACCCAAGCTGGAGTACAGTGGTGTGACTCACTGCAACCTCCGCCTCCCAGGTTCAAGTGATTCTCCTAGCTCAGCCTCCTGCGTAGCTGGGATTACAGGCATCTGCCATCACACCCAGCTAATCATTGTATTTTTAGTAGAGATGGGGTTTTATCATGTTGGCCAGGCTGGTCTCAAACTCTTGACCTCAGGTGATGTACCCACCTCGGCCTCCCAAAGTGCTGGGATTACAGGCGTGAGTCACTGTGCCTGGACGGCGGTTTTTATTTTTAATCGACAAAGAGTTGTCTACATTTATGGTGTATAACATGATGTTTTAAAATATGTATACATTTTAGAATGGCTAAGTTAATTAACATATGCATTACCTCACATACTTAATATTTACTTATGAGAACACTAAAAATCTACTCAGCAATTTTCAAGTATACAATACCTTGTTTTTGACTATAGTTACCATGTTGAACAGTAGAACTCTTGAATTTATTCCTTCTGTCTACCTGAAATTTTGTGTTCTTTGTATCCCCAACCTCCACTTACCCATCCCCTACTCTCTGGTTGTATGAGTTTAGCTTTTTTAGATTCCACAGATGTGAGATCATCTGGTAGTTGCCTTTCTGTCCATGGCTTACTTCACTTAACATAATGTCCTCTAGATTCATCTGTGTTGTCCCAAATGACAGGCTTTCTTTCTTTTTCCAGGCTGAGTAATACTCCTTTGTTTCTTCACCAGAAGGGATATCAGACTCTAATCCCATAATGCCTCAGGGGAACCTGAGTGGTGGAAACATTAAATGGTAAGATGATAAGGAAACTCATAACTTCGTTGTCTATTTTCCTTTCTGTACCCCAGCTTCTCTATCTATAAGTGGGCAGCTTAGAAAAGCTCTTCCAGTTTCCTCCAAATTCCAACACGCTATGAATCTAAGTGTTTAATCACACAGTTACCTATTTGCTCATTAACATCATGTGGGCACACAATACTTTGATTAGGTGTAAGAAGTGCTAATTAATTGTTCATGTTTGTTGGTAATGTAGAGACAACTAGCTGTCTGTAATTTTCTTCCACTTGCTCTGACATCATGTCTGTAGAAGTGGAGCCTAGAACCCTCTACAGATGTTTATTGCTCTTCCCAAAGATGAAGTGTAATCTTTTTGTGCACCCAGGTAAAAGTCATTTTTTTAGTAAATACATGGATCTGATGGCCATTTTAAGTTCATTCAGAGAGAGTTTACTAAACTTAGCACATATTAAACATTGAAAACATGATCTGGGTCATGGAATGATGAGTCATTTTTATTTTCTTGTAATCTGTGTTTTCATCAGCATCGCAGCTAACATTTACTTAGCATTCACTGTGTCAAGCTCTGTGCTTTGTGTGGATTATTTTATTTCATCCTCATTACAAGTCTATGAAAGAGAAACTACTATTATCCCATTTTATCGAGGAGTAAAGTGAAGTTAAATCAAAATATAGTTATGCAATCTATTCAAAGGGACACAGAAAGTTGTCCCATTGGGATTCAAATCCAGGCCATCTGTTCACAGTTCATTCTTTTAACTATGATAAAGTCCTTCCAATATCCTCAAGTTTTCATTAAAAACACAGAGTATTACTTTATGTAAAAAAAATGCAAGTTTTAAACAGTAGTATTTTGATTGTTTTGAAAATAAAGTCTGTTAATTTTTCTGTTTTAGTTTTATGAATTTGGTGTAAAGTGCTATTAAATAGCAATATTTTAAAAAGACATCTTATCTTCAGCAAGCTGTAAAATACTTACTAGAAAAATATTCTCTCTCAGGTATGTCTGATGAGAAGCTGTGCTTTACATGAATCATTGACTAAAAAACGAACAGGAACATAAATTCTGAAGCATGCATGAATGGTAAGCTGTAAAAAACTGCCATCAGTTTTCCTTGGAAAATAGGCACTTAATATCAATATTTGGAAATCATTACTGCTTGAATATCATTGGTATAGACCTGCCAACATTAAAATTACCTGGTACATTTGATTAATGGTGTAGATTGAGAAGCACACATGGAGAAATAACCGTGCCATAATTTTGGGAAAGGTTGCCTTAGATAGTACTCAGAAAAAAAATCACTCATGAGACAATATATAATAATGACCCTTAAGAAACAGCTAATAAAATTATAAAAATATCATGCAGGGTTAAAAAAAAATAAAATGAAAAAGCAATAGATCTTAAGTTCCCTAAACTATAAACTGAAAGGACATGGTCAGGTCTAAGGACCCCTCCCCCCCAAATTTAAGTGATCTCAACAATGCCTTGAAAATCACTTTTAGGTACTGACTAACACTGTAACATTCACAAATTCCGACTGGTCCTGGGCAAAGATACCACAATGAGCTTCAGACCACAGACAACATTTTACTATGAGAGATGAGGTATGAAAACCTCTAGGCTGGAAGCAAACACAAAGCAAAGAAAAATAGTTGAGTTTAGAGGTGAGGTTTAATTTTCACAATACAACTATAAGGAAGATTATGTTACTGAAAATTCTCCATTGAGGCGAAATGCCCTAGGATTCAGGTCCTAAAACATCAGAGTACTTTCATGCTTAGAATCCTGAAAGCTTTTCATTGTACCCAGCATAAGACACAAGTATTTACCATGGGTTTAAAGCTCACACCTGAACCTGCCTCCGCTTCCCTCCACAACCTCAATATAGACTCTTCCCCTACTGATGATCCGGTCCTCCTGGGCTTCCTTCCAGCCATGCCTGGATTGCGTCTATCTCAGAGCCTTTGCGCTTGTTTCCTGTGTCTAACCACTGTTTCCGTGAGTTTTTTTGAACATGGTTTCTACTCACTATTTGCATCTTAGCTTAAATGTCACCTCTTCAGAAAAGCCTTCATTGAAAAGCCATGTAATGTGCCATTCCTCATTCCTTCATCTAGCCACTCCTACACAATCACATTTTATATTCGTTATAGCATGTGTCATCATGGGAAAATATTTTGTTTTTGTAAGCTTGTATTTTCTATTGTTGATCTCTGCACTAGAATGTGAGCTCCATTAATACCATGGACTGTGGCTATTTTGAGGGCTGCTGTGTTTCCAGCACCTACTGCCTAATATATGTTTACTGAATAAATGGATAAATAAAATTCAATATTCTTACCTCCAACCAAATTGGTATAAAGTTAGCTATACTCTCTTTTTTAAAACTCTATATGATAGACTAAAAATAAATATACCAAGAAAAAGGCATAATGGTTACTTGAAACCTTGAGCAAAAAAACAGGAACCACCCCACAGTGTCCATGTGCTTAATTATTTATTCTTGGCTTTTAAATTCCATTAACTAATAACATAGGAAGTAAGTAGGATGATGCTGAGCCTGATTAATTAGCAATATTTACAAAAAGGAAAATAATTTTCTCACACACCCCAGGCCCCAGTTTCAAGACAAGTCAGTCTAGAGAAGCTTGGTGTCTAAATTTGCTTGAGCCACATGCTTTACAAAGAACAAGTCAATGACCCACCATTCTTTGCACAGTGGTAGCCATAGAATTGGTTAAGTCTTATCAGTCTCATTTTCCTTGTAGCTGATACTATTGTTAGACTACCTTGAATTGTACCCTCATTCCTTGCTGCAAAGTCTAGATTTTGTTGTAGTATCTTCCACTCAGGGATGATGGTCCTATATGAAACTCAGGTGCCAGCCTATTTGTATAAAGCCAATTAGCCTACTCCCATTCTCCTTGCCAATGGATGGTTTAAAAGTGGGCATTTGACTTAGACTGTGGCAAAGGGGACATCAAAAAAAATTTTCTAGGGATATCTGCAGGAAAAGGTTCCTTGCTTTAAAAAATAACCAGAATGTCCTTTCACTTGACATTGTTGGTTTATCTCAGAGTAACATCCAGAATTGCTGCAGTTGTCTTGGGACAAAGCTGACATTCCAAGGACAGCAAAGCAGGAGAGATAGAGAGGATCTGAGTTCTCTATGCTGTGCTTCACCTAGGGAATTTATCAGCTCTGGGGGCTCCCTGCCTTTTGAATTATTATGTGAAAAACTGGATTATTGCAATAACCTTTCAACTAATTCCTTCTTCTGACAGCGGTCCGTTAATTGAACTGCTGCTAGAAAGAGCGTTTTTTGACTAGTGGCTCTCTATTTCATTAAGGCAGGAGACCAAGTATTTATAATGGTTTATAAGGTCCCACCTTGCATCTGTCTGCCATCAGCTGCCTCCATTGTTCACAACTTCTTTCTTTGCCTACTCAACTTCAGACACACTGGCCTCAAGTCCAGTCTTTAAACATACCAGTTAAGCTCTTGCCTCAGGGAATTTGTACTGGCTGTTTCCTCTATCTGGAACTCTCCTCCCCAGATAGTCACACAATGAATTTTTTTGCCTTCTGCCTTTCACTCCTCAGATGTCATTTGCATGAAGTCCCGACCATCCTATTTAAAAGAGAACACCACATCCCTGTACTCCCTATTGGTTTATGTTCTTGCATTGATAGCCTCATATTTTAATTCCACTTGTTTATTATACTTATTGTCTAGCCCCTCCACTATTGGCACTCCAGTGCCTAGAATGCTGAGTACATAGTAGGTGCTCAATGGATATTTGCAGAACTGAGGAAGAGATCATTCTTTTCCTATTCCACATGTTGATAGTGTAACATGGTAAGAAGCCCCACTGCATACCTCAACCATACCTCAGCTTTCTGTTGAAACTGCTATCTATAACCCGAATGTGAATAAGTAATTAAGGACTGTGATCGCTGCCCTACCCAGACAATGTGTAAACGAATGCTAATCTTGACTTTTGTGAACCACTTAAGTAACAGTCAGAATGTCAAAAAGTCCTCTGGCCCTCGGAATGTCTGGAGCCCCTCACCCTCATCTCCGCCCAGAAGGTGATTTGCAGAATCCACTAGCCCTCGGAATGTCTAAAGCCCCTCACCCCCACCCCCGCCCCTCACCCTCACTCCCAAGGTAATTTTTACAGCTATGAAAGGTCTTGGCACCCTCCCTTTGGGACCACGGGTTGGAGAGACGTGAGTCCTCCTTGGCTGCCGGCAATAAAGACCCTGCAAGGCCGGGCGCGGTGGCTCAAGCCTGTAATCCCAGCACTTTGGGAGGCCGAGGTGGGTGGATCACAAGGTCAACAGATCGAGACCATCCTGGTGAAACCCCGTCTCTACTAAAAATACAAAAAAATTAGCTGGACATGGTGGCGCGTGCCTGTAATCCCAGCTACTCAGCAGGCTGAGGCAGAATTGCCTGAACCCAGGAGGCGAAGGTTGCGGTGAGCCGAGATCGCGCCATTGCACTCCAGCCTGGGTAACAAGAGAGAAACTCCGTCTCAAAAAAAAAAAAAAAAAAAAAGACCCTGCAATTTGGCATACTTTTGTCTTGGTGTTGACTTTCTATGCTCGGTCCGGTACAACAATAGCAGTTTTCTGTTGCAGCTGAAAGCATGATGGGTTTCCCTTGAGCTGCCTTGGTGTCCTGTGCCCTGCATTTCAAGACAGTCAACCACATCTTAAACTCACAGTTGTGCATCCAGAGGAAGATGAGCAATAGAAAAATCTCCAGTGTAGGATTCAAAAATTTGCTTTCTGGTCTCTGTAAGACCTTGGGCAAGTTAAAGCTTATTGCTAGCTGCCTTAATCTCCTCATAAAGAAAAATAGGTCTACTCTCTATAATATCTATACTATCTTTTTTGTTGGCAATGTGGGATTATAAGACCAATTCTAGTTATCTTCTATGGGTTATAAGACATATATGACTGATACATGTTAAAAGAAAAGTCTTATGTATTTGTAATGGATTGTTTTGAATGAGCTTTTTTATTCTCTAAAAAGATCCATTATTTTTGTATTAGTGGTGATGTTGATTTTTTTGGTTGGTTGGCATTTATTAGTTACTGAAGGCTATATTCATTCAATAAATATTTATTAAGCCCCTGCTTGGTGTCAGGTTACTTTCCAGGAGTGCTCTATCACAGTAGTTGAGAACACCAACTCTGAGGTCAGGTAAATGGTAAGTTATGGTAAGTTGTTAAACTTTCTGAGTCTCAATCTCCTCCACTATCAAATGGGCTTAAGCTGGCACCTGCCTCATATCTTAGTGCTGTGGCAAGGGTGGAATGAGATAACATGTTGAAAGCAGTCATTAAGGAGTCTGGTCTCGTGAAGCCCTAATTAAACAGAATTATCATTATTATTACTCTCCTCTGGCCAGGTATTGTGCAGCACTTTCAAAGATCTTATTAACATATCCTTTCATTTTTTCAAGTTGGCAATCACCCAGGATCTGAGCAAACAGCCCAAGAGAATAATTGAACCATGAATAAAATGTGGGTCTATGTACTCAGAAGTCTTAGCTAATTCCTGTTCCTTCTTTAGGTCTTTGATTGACTTCCAATCTGGCCAATCTTACTCTAGCAAGCCTTCTGTGCTCTGTTCCCAGTGTCAGCTGGGTGACTTACTTTTTTCTAGCACTTTCCACAATCACATTGGATTGTCATTAAAAACCATGCTGTGTGATGTCTTCAGGAAAGTGTACAGTGCTCATTGGAGGGGAGCAACAGGGTTTTGTCCACGGTTGGCCTCATCACCCAGCCTAGTGCCTAGCACATAGTAGGCGCTCCATAAATAGTTGTTAATTAAACACATTTAAAGTGATTGGCATTAGGGAAGGGATGAAATAAATAGCCATGGAGTTTTTTTCTCTTTCTTGGCTAGGAAATATTTAATTACCTAATGCTTACAAAAAGAACAGGATGTTTGCCTTCAGTGTTACGAAAAGAACCTGCTTCCCTTCCTCCACAGGGCTCACTTCTCACCAGCCCACCTGCAGAGTACAGCAAGCCTTTTCACACCAAGTCATTCTCCATCACAGCTGAGAAAAAAATGCGTTCATCTTGCACAACATTCCAATGTTCATAATCATTCCAATTTTTCTTCTGGCAGACTGAAGCACCATACAAAGTGAAGTTGCATAGGAAATCCCCTTGTAGCCTACTGGGTGCGGAGAAGAGATCTCCACTTCTTTTTGATACACAGAGGGAAGGTTTTCACTCCCTTCGGTCCCTGAGGCAGAGAACTTGGTTGCACAGTATCTTGCATGTATTGGCATTCTGGTTTCCTTTAAATGCACTCAAAGCAGCTTCAGATTTTCTATCTTCTCTGCTCTTAGAATAGCCCTCTGATATAAGAAAAGAAAGAGCAGAATTTCTCAATGTGTCTCTTGGATCAAACTATTAGAAGTATTGGGGAAGCTTGTGACATATGCAGGTTCTTTGACTCCATCCCAGACCTAGTGAATCAGAATCTCTAGAGGTAGAATCTAGTAATATTCATTTTAACACTCTTCCCAGGGGATTCATATGCACAATAAGGTTTGAAAATCATTTAGTAACCTGTCCAAAGTCACTAACTGGGTAACTGAACCAAGTTTAAAGTGAGGGATTATCTGATTTCAAATTGGTACCTAATTAAAAATCCCCTTGAGTTGTTGATGTAGACAGCTTCTATCCAAAAAGATAGGATTTCTTCTCCCTGAAATGGGAATTCTTAACAGTGCCAGTTCTTTGCCCTGTATCTGGGAGTGGGAAGAACAAGGCAAGTAAGGGTCCATTTTATATCATTTTGGCTAAGATCTGTAGGGTGAAGTTACAGTTATTGTCATGAACATCTAAACATCTAAGAAAGGTTATTTGTCAATCACTGACTTCTTTCTATAAAATGAGGAGAAGGTTGCAAGTCTTGATACTGCTTTGAGACAACCCAATTGGTATTTTCTTTTCTTCTGGTGACAGCCAAGAGTCACAATCACTGAAGGGAAGCTGAAAAATCATTCCTATAATCCTCAAATTTCTTAAACATCCATGCAAAAATGAAACATTTTTGCAAATGTTATAGGTAAAGGATTCCTCTTTGCAAGGAAGTCACAGTTGTTGGCTTTTACTTTAGGGTATATGAAATGCACCTCACATCATATTGACCGTCAAATTGATGTTTCTCTTTCATTAGAAAGTGGAATCGATAGAACGCCTCATCCTTGCCTCTACATGATTGATCTTTTCAGAGAGAGGGAAGGAAAAATGTTATACCCATGTAGCAAAACAGAATAAATACCACAATTATTTCCCATGAATAAGATGAAGTGACCTATGTTGACAGATATCAAAGAACTGCAGAATGAGGAACAAAGCACCCCGGAATTGTAGTATTGTAAAGAAAATGGTTATATGCTATAGCTGGGATAAAAACAGAAACCCCACCAGATAATTCTTTTTCCCATGTTCAAAATCAGACACCAAGTCTCAAGAAGTTGTCTGATATCGAGTGGGCAATTTCCAGCATGTAAAGTACTTCTAATGATGAAATAATATAAAATTCCATGCAATGAATTGCATATATGTTATATGAAATATGCCTGCTAAACAAATCAAATATAAGCATCGCACATGGTAAATCAGAACCTTTAATGTGTAAGTATCTTCCAATAACTAAACTAAGTCAATGGTGTTTAGATGGCATCCAAAGCAGCAGTATAACTGAAAGTTTAGGGCATCAGCAAATTGATTGTTGACTGCATGGCCACATGATCTGCATGAGTTATGTGATCCCATTCAGTTCAATGGTTCCAAATACCATCTGCATGCTGAGGCCTCCCTAGTTTCTATCTGCATCTCTCAGATTGTCTCTTTAAGACATATATACGACTCGTATATATACAACTTATTTCTTGATGTTTATACCTTTGTATCTCATAGCTACTTAATATTAATTATTTTCAAAATGAAGCTCATGATTTTTCTCCCCAAGTATCTTTCTTTTTCAGGTTCCACAGTGTTAATAACTGGTGCCCACCACCACCCAATTGTTCAAAGCTAAAACCTGAAAACGATCTTAATTCCTTAGTTTACTTCTCCCCTAAAATCTACCCTAGTTCCTCCAAAATGTGTATGGAGCCCGTTATCTCTTCATCTGTACTTTTTCCACTCTAATAAAGTTACATCGTCTCTCATCAGACTTCTTATAAAGCTTAACCAAGGAATGGTACTTTTGAGAATGTGTCCCAGAGATATAATCACAGTAGCTAATCACAATTATTGAATAGTGTCTATGTGCTATGTTGCTTAAAGTATATATCTAATTATATTATGACAATTCTTCAGGATAACTTTTATTATCCCAATTTTACATATCAGGAGATAGAATCACAAAAAATTTGAGGTAACTTACTCCATGTCTGTAAGTAGGTGAAGCCAAATTTGAACCAGTATTTTTAACTGTGAAACATATGCTCTTAATTACTATATCACACTGCTTTTCCTGGAAAAATGTAAAGATTTAACTGTTAGGTATTTATAACAATGTTATACATATTGAAAATATGGGTAAATAAACTAGGGTATACATACCTCTCAGTATATGAAAGATAATCCTATACATTGTTAAGTAAAACAGCGATTTACAAAATAGTATTTTCATTATGACTCCATTTTGGTAAAGAAAAATCATATTGATATTGTTTGGTGTAAACTGACCAGTTCCTTGCACAGTATTTGATGCATAGTACTTGTTTCTTGACTGAATCAGTTAATGACCATATATGCATCATCAAGAGGTTAGAAAAATATACCATATTCTGTGTCTCTTGTGCTGGAAAAAACAACCAAACAAACAAAAACCTGAACAAACAAATGAAAAAGAAAAATATAACATAAACTCTTGTCAGTGCTGACCTATGGGTTATGGGTTTATGAATGACATTTATTTTCTGATTTTTATTGGTTAAATGTAAACTTTTTTACACTGAGAATATGTTGTTTTAGTAATCCCAAAAATAAAAAAAGTTGTTTTTAGAAATTATTTAAGGTTTATTTTAAAGGCTTTCTTCCCACAAATCTATTTTCTCCCCCAAATGTGTGAGATTCCTACCTCTTTGGTAGTCAAAGCATTGTAGGCTTTAGCCTAAGCACATTTATCTGTAGCTCACTTTAATTGTGTTCTATTTGATATGATACTTTATCTTTCTGGTCCATACTCTGTCTCTCCTTCAATGGTGCATTTCTTGAGAGCTTGGACTGTATTTTATTTATCTTTACAACCCTCTCATTTTCTGAGACAGTACCCTGGATATAGTAAGCACTCGCTAAATGTTTATTGTTGAACTCATAGTATCATTCGTTTAAAGTCCTATAGAATAATTTGACATGTGAAAAAGTTCTAGTCTACTACTTGATACCTCAGATCCACATAAATATCTTGCACCAAGATGCAATTTGAACATCTTATAACAATCTATTGGTAATGGTCTGATATACACACACACACACACACACACACACACACACACACACATTATGTATGTGTGTTATATATGCAATATATTATTATATATGTACAATATCATACAAATATATATGCATATATGTATATATAATATATGTATATGTGTAATATATATACATATATGTATATATATAATATATACATATATGTATATATAATATATATACATATATGTATATATATTATATATATAATATATATACATATATGTATATATATGTATATATATATTATATATATTATAATGTATACATTGTATATATATAATATATATACACATATATGTATGTATGTATACACACACACACACACACACTCTCCTAGCCCTTATAGCATAATGGGTAATTATACTATTATCCCCATTCTGCCCATGAGGAAAACTGAAGCATGGAGACATTAATTAACTTGCCAAGGTAACCAGCTAGAAAGTGATAGAACTGAAATAGAAAAAGTCATTAATAGGAATAAGTAATCTGGAAGGGAAAGCCGAATAAGTTTTATTGACTTTGATCATATAGAAAATTAACTTGGGTAGATTAAACCAATTAAACCAAAAGAAATCTGATTTTTAACCAGTAGCACGTGAAAGTCATTTATTAACTCACTCAACAAATATTCAATTTCCACTGAGGCAGTATTAGTGGAGGTTAAATGACATCTAAGATGTGTTGTCCAGGGAACCTCCACGCCAAACACAGTGGTTGTGTGTTTGTGACCAACCTAATTCTTCTTTTTAAAAAGCGTCTGCCTTATTCACTAAAGTGCATTTTCTAAACAAAATAGGAATTGATTGTCATTTTGATCCTTACTCTGACCCAATTAACAATCAGTTCAAGCAGTCTACTTTTGTATCATGCACAGTAAACATTTTTTTTTGAGACAGAGTTTCGCTCTTGTTACCCAGGCTGGAGTGCAATGGCGCGATCTCAGCTCACCGCAACCTCTGCCTCCTGGGTTCAGGCAATTCTCCTGCCTCAGCCTCCCGAGTAGCTGGGATTACAGGCACACGCCACCATGCCCAGCTAATTTTTTTTGTATTTTTAGTAGAGACGGGGTTTCACCATGTTGACCAGGATGGTCTCGATCTGTTGACCTCGTGATCCACCCACCTTGGCCTCCCAAAGTGCTGGGATTACAGGCGTGAGCCACCGCGCCCGGCCCACAGTAAACATTGAAACTTGTTGTCAGTTCACCTGTATTCATGATTAAAGGGATGTGTGCAAAATGCACATTCCCAGCCCTCATTGCAGAGTAATAAGTCAGAATCTCTATTTTCAAAATAATGTTTAAAGAGTAGGGCTTTGGAGTCCCAAAGACTAGGTTTGAAAACTACCTCACCCGTATTTAAGCTACAGTGTCTTTGGCAATGTACTTAATATTTTTTGTTTGTTTCCTTGACTTTAATATCCTGTTAGGTAAAGGGGAAATAAAAATTCTTCCCTGTCATAAGGTTTTGGTAAAGATTAATTTACAATGAGGGTCTAATTATAATAGTATTTATAAAAATAGCTTACAAATATCAAGTACTTACAAAGTATTGAGCACTGTGGCTGCCAGTGCCATATCTGTATTATCTTATTAATTTGTCTTAAGCGAATAATAAGTCTGCAACTGGTAAGGCCTATAGTTAAAGCAGACACTCACTCAGAATTCTCATAATTGATGGGAAGCCAGTAACATGGACAAGATACAAGTGCAGAGTCAGAGAATAATGGATAACTTGGAACAAGTCATCTAGCCTTGTGGTGCCCAATGCCAGTCCACTATATCAGAATTAACTGAGTAAACTAATCAAAACACATTGTATCACCCTAATCCTTGAAACTCTAGCACAGTAGCTCTTGGAGACCTGGGAGTCTCTATTGTTGAAAAAGGTCAAGTGATTTTGAATCATGGCCAAAATTTAAAACAACAGATTAACTTGAACTTTGTTTTCTTAAGATCCGTGAGGTTAGAGAATAGGTCATTTTTTCCTTCCTTTTAAACAAGTTTCTAACGTCTAGCACAGTACTGACATATAGAAGATATTCAAAGATTTTTTTTAGGTGGTATAAAATGAGATTGATAATTTTCTATCTGTCTTCATGGGTCTCTAGAAGGATTTTTTTGTAAGGCTCTATTTGACAATTCATCTCAAAAATAGAGGATTCTATATGCAAATATAATTTTAGATCCAGTAATCCTACTACTGGGTCTATATTTAAATAATAAAATCAGTACATAGAAGAGTAATCTGCTCTCCCATGTTTATTGTAGCTCTAGTCACAATAGCCAAATTATGAACTCAACCTAAGTGTCCATAAACAGATGATGAATAGATACATACAGTGTGAGATATATATATATATATACACATACATATATATATACATATATATATACACACACACACATATATATGTATATGCAATGGAATATTACTTATCCATAAAAAAATGAAATCTTGTCATTTGTGGCAACATGGATAAACCTAAAAGGCATTATATTAAGTGAAATAAGACAGGTATGGAGAGACAAATACCACATGTTCTCACTCATACCAGGAATCTAAAAAGGTTGATCTCATAGAAGTAGAGAGTAGTAGAACAGTGGTTACCAGAGGCCTGGGAGGGTGGTAGGAAGATGAAAAGAGATTGATCCATAGGAATAAAGTCATAGATCCAAGGAACAAGTTTTGTTCTGTAGCACAGTAGGGTGACTATGGTTAACAATATCATATGCTGTATCCCCAAACGGCTAGGAGAAAGGATTTTGAATCTTCTTACCACAAATAAATGACAAATGTATGAGGTAATGGATATGCTAATTATCTTGGCTTGATATCATTACACAATATACACGCATCAAAACATCACACTGTACTTTATAAATATGTACAGTCATTGCATCAATTTCTTTTAAGTATAATTTTATATAGATTCATTTATTAACTTATTTTACTGTGCTTTCTTCTACTTTGTAAACATAGAGTATTTGGTTTATGGTCACCCACTATTAGATTCTCTAAAAAGAAATGATGGCAAGATTGTAAATAAACTACCCTTTTCAAATTATCGGATTAATTTTTACTCAAATTATGTTTTACTCAGAATTGAAATGCTACTGTATGACCAGAAATTCACATGTATTTGTGCATGTTAGTTTGATTATCGTGTTCACTTCATCATTCTTTAAAACTAGTTTCAGAACTGTGTTATACCACATCTGGAATCTAAACCTACCATCAAGGCAGCAAAATCTGTTTCAGGCAAGCCCTACTGCATTCTGCTAGAAAAGCTAAACCATGATTTAAAACACCCAGAAGTGCTATTCTAGTTCCTTCCAATTGCCTATCATTCAGTGTTTTGTAATGCAGACACCTTTAGGGAGAGTCATGGAGGTCTCTAAGTCCAGGCTTACAAAAGAAGAAAATAAAGAAAATTAAAAAGTTCTTCAGGAGGAGGAAAACTAATGCATTATCCGAGGTAAAGGGCCCTGGAATAGGAAAGTCTCCTGACAACCAGAAAGGCAATTATATGCTAAGATTGGGATTCAATGTTCCCATAAGTCATATGACTAGACTTGAATTCTCCAATCTCCCTCTGTGCTTCATGTATAAGCAGTGATCCTCCACACAGAATGGAAGGGAGAGATTTATGGTTGACAGTCTTAAAATGTTTGGACTCAGAATTCTACAGTGCTGACAGACCATCCTGAAACCAGGCATGACTAGTTTAGCCTCTGTCACTGCAAACCTATTTTACTGAAATTTCATTTCAGTGCTGCCTCATTGGTGGGAATAAAATAAATGTCACCAGAAAAACAACAACAACAAAAAAAAAAACAGGAGAGAAGGAAATTATTAAATCCATTTCTAGCTTAGAATACAATTCTGGGGTGTGTGCGGACTTAAATTCGTGAAAGCAAAGATGAAAGTTTTTAGCTTTGAAACCAGCACAAACTCCCAAGGAGGCAAGGAAAAGGATATGGGGGTTTCTCCTACCTTCTGTGGTTCCAATCTCGATAGTGCCTTTCACTTGACTGAAGCACCATAGTGTGTCCTGGGTGAGCGTCCCAATTCCTGAAAGCAATACAAGGAGACACTTCAGGTTAGGTAAGAGCTCCCAGTTGTTCTTAAGAGACCAACAAGAAAAGAAATACATGGCAGAATCTATGCATTTCTAAAAGGAGACTTGCACACCAGGTATCATCTCGTCAGAGAAGAGACCCTAATGAGTCCTGAGAGCACGGTCAGTCTGCAAGCACCACGTTCTGCTGTGAATCACTGCTCTGTCTCCTGCTTCTGACCATGCCAGGACCAGTTTGAACTGGAGCAATTGGAGTTTGTCCCTTCTCAGGCCCTGGCAGCACCCTGGAGTGGTTACGAAGGGCTTGCAGTTGTCCCCTGTGTGACTGGCCCTTTTCACGGGAATACTAATGCTTTTGATTGTTTTCCTTCTGTAATGGTGGGGAAGAGAAAGAGGCAGTTCCTTAGGGGGTGAGAGGAAAAGAAAGGCAACATTTTTTTTTCCTAACTGGGTTTCACAGCTTGCATGGTTGAGCGGCCAGTAAGGGGTTAGATACCCAGAGCACTTCCATCTCTCTTGTTCACTTCTTGACTGCTTGCCAAAGTCAGGCTGACTGCATAGTAGGGAAAAACAAAAAAACAAGGCTGGGGATGGGGCGGGGTGGCTCACAGAGTTGGGGAGTCATTTTCTGACAAATGTGGCCTATTTTGTTCCAAGGGGATTTTTGTTTCAGATTCAATTGGACATCTGATGGGTCTAAATGTTCTGAGTAATAGTGACTCCTCGTTTCTACAAACATATATAGCCAATGCTAATACATATATTAACACATATACTAAGAAATAGTCTAATTCCTTTACATATCCAAAAGAGTCCATTACAGAACACTTCTGGATAGCAGGGGTACCAGTTTCCTTCTCAACAGCATGAACATTCCCCTTAAATTCAATAGGTTTTAAAATTCAAGAGACTAGCAGAGTCAAATTTTGGGAGATGGTATGAATTTATGAATAATTAAATTCAGTAAGAAAAAAAACCATGAAATTTCATAAACAAATTGACCTTTAAAAATGCACAGGGAACTGAGTATCATTTTCATTGACAGCCACAGATTTGTATTGAATTCCTATATGGAAACCTTCACTCACTCAGCCACATGAAAGGAGCATTGTCTCTCATATGCTCTACTCAATGTTGTTGACAGCTTATTTGATGGAAGGAGCACAGGGTCATTATTAAAAGTAGAGACTGCAATTAGACAAGAGCTGGGATCTGACTTGGGACAATTTTCTATGTATAATGAGACAGTTTCCCCATCTTAAATGGCAATAATAATAGTACCTATAGGGTTGTGGATATTAAATGTGTATAGCACAGTCAAGAAATTTAATAATGGACACTAGTAGCAGTAGTAAGTATTTATTCTAAAATGTTCCATAGTTAAAAAAAAATAGAATATTGGCTGAGACGATCTCATACACTGTGCTAAGTACTTGACTTGGAATAAGTCCATTCTTACATAAATCACGTGGAGGGCATTATTATTATCATCCCCATTTTACAGGGGAGAAAACTGAGACTCAGGAAGTTTTGGTAACTCCCTCAAGATCACACCTAGGGCATGGCAGAGTTGGTGTTTCAACCAAGCCTGAGTTGCAATATTCCCAGTGTACAGAGTTTGGATACCCATTTGATAGTCTGGGCCCTTTAGCCCAGAGAGGCTTCACAGCAAGAGTCTCATTTGGAAGGCAGAGCTGGAATACAGTTTCAGATATCAGGTAGTAAAGTATCAGTGTCTCCTCTATGATGACACAGGGCTAAAACATCCTAATAAAACTAGCACCTAGAAGGGGAGAAGGAAGGCCTTTGGCAGCATGTATTAGCGCATAGAAAGACACACCTACAGTGCTGATCCTTTCGGGTACTTTCTGCTCTGGCCTTGGATTCCAGCATCAGACATTCTTTGACAGGTTCATGCCCTGACCTGTGAGTTATCAGTGACCCTCTCCACGCTGTGTCAGTTCTGCTGTTGAGATCTGAGACCATGTCTGTCTTAGGGAACAATAGCTACAGTGAGATTTCCCCCCGATTTTTGTCCTGGCACAGTTCCTATATCACTAGCTATGATTCTGGATGTAGATGCTGTTTCTGTTTTCACAAAACATATACTTTAAAGCAAGCAGACATATACAACTCTGAAACGCACACATGCATACATACAAACCTAGGCATATTATATATGAGCCTATGTCTAGATATTTAGACCACTTCACAGAGTTTTAGCTCTAGAAGAAACCTTGCTTATGTGTGAAATTATTTCACATCTGAAAAACCCAAATCATAGAAGTTACCGACTTGGTAAATTCACAAGGCATTATATGACCAAGTCACATACCAATGCCAGTTCCTGATGTAAACTCATGGATAGGGTTTCCCAGAGGCATAAGCTTGATTGATCAGAGTTGGTTGATTACTGCGAGGGTTCCAGGAAGCCAAGATATTGTCAGTTTCCTTGTCCAAGGCAGGCTTCCATTGGACCCAAGTTCTGCCTCCCACCAATATTATTGCCAAATAGGGGAATTAGTGATGCAGAGAAAGTCTGGACCACTCCATTTCTTTCCTAAAAGTGCTAAGTAGCAGCTGAAAACACAAATGCCTGTATGGACTAGGATGTAAATGAGACAAGCTGTCCAGGTGTCAGATATTGAGTGATTTAACATTTGATTTCAGTCTGTGATCATCTCAAAAGTGGTGGAAATGAAGGAACTGGAGGATTCAGGCCTTGCCTGAAGGTCAGCAGCTATTTAGCTGCAGTTAAAGGTTGCCATGAAAAATTTCAGCCCAGTGTTACTGGATTCAGTGATATTTTTCAGAAGCAGCCAGAAACATGGATTATTATGTGACTAAATCCAAACGTTCAAAAAACTCCAAATTTTTAAATGTTGTCAATAAGTTCAAATTAGAACACTCACACAGGACGGCTCGTACAGCATAGGGTAAACATCACATCTGCAGGCTGAATATTGTCTTTGTGTTACCAATTTGTAAATCTCTGGTTAGAATATTTGTGCTGAAAGACATTAATACCTAGTTCATACTTACTATTTCACAGATTAGGAAGTGGGGCCCCTGAGAGGAAAAAGAACTCACAACACCATAAAATTACTTCAGTTACAGATGTAGGACACCAAGGGGACAAATCCAATTCCTATACCAGATTCCCTTTTACCACCAGGCTACCTGTCATGATGATGGTTTGGCAAGATACCTGTGTAGATTTAATGAGTGCTTTTTGGGAAGTATATTGATTGCTAAAGTGGGATGATTGGGAGAATTATACCAACATAGTCAGAAAGGAAAATCAGTTTCTCTTAAATTACAGACCTTGACAGTTTCCCTAAACCCCAGTGTTAAATGACACCTCAGTTGCTGTGGTGATGGTGTCCACAAGCAACATTCCTGATCAGGAGGCTGATGCAGATCCAGTGGCTAAACATCTTGGAAGGTGCTCATGCTTTTCTCACCCTCCACAGCTCAAAAAGCCCCCGAGTTTCATCTACTGAATGGTTGGAAGCTCAGTCCATAGATGGCATGTACCTATCTTATCTCTAGGATCATGGAATAGACAATTTCTGAATCTGGTTAGCCCTTCGAGATCACTTGGTCCAACTGCCTTGTTTAAAAGCAGAGGACACTGAAGCCCAAAAGGGGCATGGCCACACAGTGAGTTAACAGCACACTTGGAGCCAGCCCAAGGCTCTGAGGTCCTGCACAGGGCCCTTCAGAGTTGAGGCTGGCTTCTTTTGTGCCAACTCAGTTTTGCGAATACAATGAACAGAGGGTGTGACATGCAGCAAATAAAGCTCCTTATTGATTGGGAGGTGATTGTAAAGAGTTATTTTCAGGGGCTTTGTGCTAGTAGTGTGCTTCTCTCTGCAGAGAGGGGGAGGGAGAGAGGGAGAGGGAGATGGTGGGGCAGTGAGAAAGAGAGAGAGAGAGAGAGAGATCAATCCTTGCGCAGAAAAATTTTCTCTGAGAGAAATCTAATTTGAAATTGGTTATGTTATAGGCTATAAATGTATATTTAATACATGGAAAGAGCCTGTAATGGTGCAAACCTCTCTGTTGTTATGAGGATATCACAATAACTTATGGAAGGCACTTAGTGTGAAATATGAATGAATGTCTTGCTGACACATCAGCCCCAATTTGGTATGGAAATCTTTCTATCTAGGAAGCCGAATTTTTAAAAGGAGGGACCTAGGTACTCCAGAGACAGTTAAAAATAAGGACTTCAGACTTCAGTGAAAAAGAGAGTCTTTCATTTTTCACTTGCCATCTCTATATCCTGTATATTGCTTGATTTTTTAGCAATTGCCACTGAGTTTAGTAAAGAAAGGCCACTTGTGTGTCCCCAGTTTGGCAGAGAGCTCATACAGAATAGAAACAAGCAGAGATAGTAAGCACATCAGGTTTTAAAGTCAAACATTTCCTTTGCACAGGATTGAATCCACCATTAGAAACGGAATGGTAAAACCATCATTGGATCATTTTGCCAGGTGTAGTTTACTGGAGGATTTCAATTGGCAGTCAGAAAAATTGTTAATTGGCTAAACTGACCATCACAACAGTTCATTTACTGGAAGAAAGGGAAGCGAGGTGGAAGGAAGTGGCTGCATTCGGCAGATTATTAAGGAGGTAGAATCAGCTAGGGATTTGTGGTGATTTGCAATCCGAGTGAGAAAGGAAAGAGGTGAAGAAATTTTGAACTGTTGGTGAGACACTGAAGCTACTCGTTCTTTATCGAGCTATTGATCCTATATCCTAATAATTTACTGAACAAAGGAAAGGTTCTATACTTTCAAAAATAATGATGATGCAAGTGCCTCTTTAGAAATCTAACTCTATTTTATGAATCAAAGGAAATGAAGGTGCCTAACATCCTCAAATAGACCCATGTAATATTTGTATAGTAGATACTGAGAAAATGAGAAGACTCCTATTATTTCTTGCCTAATGCATCCTAGCAGGCCATTTTGGAATGTAATTTAAAAGTAGCCAAATACCAAAAGATTGTATTTTACTCTTCTCCATATGTACAATAATTATTTTGTGATCATGTTCTAGTATTTATAGGAAGATTTTAATACATAGTTAATACAGTCTTTCCCACCCTTTCTTTTTAAAAATCTTTTGGAAGTATAATAGATGTTTAAAGATGGGAAATATTTGAGGTGTAGAATTTGACAAGTTATGACATCTATACTGTCACCTTGAAGCCATCATTCCAAGCAATATATAAACATACTCAACTACCAAAAGATTCCTCATGCCTTTTCTTTTCTCTTTTCTTTCTTTTTTTTTTTTTTTTTGAGATGGAGTCTCACCCTGTTACCTAGGCAGAGTGCAATGGTACAATCTTGGCTCACTGT